ACTTAATTAGAACAAATTATGTTCTATGTTGTATAATTATGTCAGAATGAACCCCAATATTATAAATATCTATAATGAACTAATAAAAACAGAATTGAATAGAGTTGATTAGAAAATATAAAGTACATCATGGGTAGAAAAGTATTGTTCAACAAAACACTGTTTCAATTTGATATATATACATTGTTCAACTATGAATACATATATAAATATATAAGTACATTTGGTTACATAAATATTATCTACATATAAACCACATATTCACATATCATATATTTTAACACATACCCACAAAATTTGCCTTCTCATTCTTCGTCAGCTATTTACGGAAATGTAATTTTTTTAGTGAGACTTTCTTTTGCCACCCTTTAAAATAGAATCCTTTCTCTATATAGGTCTTTCTCTTTTTTTACAAAAAATAGCCCTGGACAACTTACCTATGTAGTTTTTTCTTTTAATATTGATTACATCTTACACCTCTGCCTTCCCCACCTCCACCAGCATCATTAGAATAAAGGTTTTTTAAAAATTCATTATGATTTTCTTAGTGCCTAAAATAGTTCCCTGATGGCACTCAATACAATTTGCAAAAGTTTGTGTAGTTGTGTTCAGTCTTGATGTAATGAGTTATTTCTTAAACTATGTTAAGAGTATATAAATGTTTAAAATGCTCTGTAAAGGAATTCTTAACTGCAGAAGACATGAGCAAAAATTATACTTCACTAAAATAGGAAAATTATTTTACTTATTTCACTACTTATAAAAAGTTGGAAAAATTTAAATGTTCAATAACTGAAAAGACTATTTTAGTAGTATAAAGTACAATATTATACAACAGTTAAAACTTGAGCTACACAGATCAGTATGGATAAATTTTCAAACTAAAATTGAATTAAAAAAGCTAGTTTCAAAGGAGCGTACAAGTTAGCATTGATGTAAAAAATTGCTAAGTAAAACATGTATTTACAGATGTATGCATATAAAGTGAATGTATAAATAGAGAGGACCAATTAACATCAAGTTTAGAACAGTTGTTGAGAGTGAAAAGGGCTGTAGGTTGGGGAATAATTTTGCAAAGGTACATGTGGGCTTTAGTTTTGTAATCTTATTTAGTTTTAGACAAGATAGATGATCATGTTATTCTGTATTTTTCTGTTAATATGAAATACTATATTGTTTTTTAAATATGAGGCTTTCTATACCCTGTAAGAGTCAGCTGTAGCTTAGTACCTTACACCTCCCTGACCCAGTGCTTGCTAGGAATTGGAGTGGTGGCAATGAGGACACCCATCCAGGGGTTTTGGGAATGGCAATTTGTGCATAAACATTTTGCCTCAAGGAAAGGCAGGGATAAAACAACATCACACTCCCCTAGAGACTAGGAGCAGCACTCTATTTGGGGGAGGTTTGGCCAATCTTAAACTCCTTAAGGAAAACACTAGGATGAAACATGCAGGCAGTTTCTGAAAAGTTGATGCCAGTCTTCTGACAAAAAAAAAAAAAAAGTGAGATAGGATAGGAACACTAAATCTTATTTTTATATATTTTAGGTAAATTGAGTTGTTGACAGCTAACAGAGTTCAGTCTGGGAGATCAGGCTATCCAGAACATCCAAAAATAATGTTAGTTTTTGATGGAAACAAAATAAAAACTTTTCAATCAAATACTAGTCCTTTATCAAGGGAATGTTTAATCCAAACAGAATTTACATAAAATTTTAAAAACACTTTATGCTTTGAAGTAACTGTCTAAATGTGTAAGAATGCCCTAAGCCATGTCTGAACTTTACAAGATCTGGCCACTTGTTCAATCTCTTGAATAATATCTCTATTTACAAAAATGGACAATTTCCCTATTAACTTGGGTTTATTCTTTGCTTTGTAAGTTTCAAGTTTTGATATGGATTGGGGTGATACCATACAGTATTAATTAGGAATGACACTCTAATTTAATCAACATTGCTTGTCTTTTTTTGGGGCAGATGAATATATTTGGATAAGTCCTTTTATAAATCAGATTAAATAATTGTCATATAGAGTGGCAAACTCCCTGAGGGCAACATATACTGCATAACTATAGTGAAAGAGAGTAACCATTCAGTCTCTGAAACAAAAAAAAAAGGTTTATTTATTGTTTCCTGTTTCAATTCAAACAAGAGCAAAAATCTGTCCCCTCCTGGCCAGGAAGCAAAAGAAGAAGAAAGGGCTAGCACCTCACAATCCCTCCAGGGGGCATACCCCCAGTGATTTCCCACTAGGCCTCACCTCTTAAAGCTTCCACAGCCTCCCAGTCCCCTCACTCTGGGGACCACATGTACTTTGTGGGGACAGTCATCATCTGAACTATAATAGTCCCCCAAATCTTACTTTCTCTAGCCTTGTTCTTCCCTATTAAAAAAGAAACCCTTTCTGCCTGACTTTCTGAGCACTTATGAAGCTTATGGTCAGAGTATTCCAACTGAAAAACTCTCCCTCTCCCTTTGAAAGTCTTTTGTAAATAAATTCTCTCCTCACCTAAACAAACTAAAACACTCAAAAGTTCATGACTAATGATTTCTTATTTTTCTGTGTAGATGGGTTACTATTCCATTTCATCTGATGTTGGCTGGTTTTTCATTTGACCAGCTTCATTAAGCCAGTGGTGGGGTTGGGTGTGGTGGTGGTGGGGCTGCTGAGAAAACATCACTGACATTCTTGGTACCACAGAGTTTACCATGGGTAGCTTGAGTTTCTTCAGAGCATGGCCTCAGACTTGTTCAACTTTTTGCATGATAGCTGGCTTCAAGACAGACAGTAGAAGTTGCCACAGATCTTCTTAAAGGTAAGTCTGGCACTTCTGCCACATTCTCTGAAGCCAAAGCAAGTCGTAGACCAATGGGATGTACTTGTATATCACAGTAAAACAAAGCATAAAATGATATGGGATTTAGGGAACAAGGGGATTCATGGATTGGCGGGGCTTTCAGAAGCAATAATGTTGAGAAACTAATCAGTCATAAAAATACATTCACTGGACTGAGGCTTGACTTACTTGCTCACTTTAAAAGCATGGTCTGAGGCAGGAGCATTGCAAGCTCAAGTCAGCCTTAGAAACTTAGTGAGGCCCTAACTAACCTAGAATCTGTCTTAAAATAAAATTAAAAAAAAAGGTGTGGGGATAAAGCTTTAGTGATAAAAGTGCCCCTGGGTTCAATCCTAAGTTAAAAAAAAGGGCATGGTCTGAATGAAAGTTTTTGGTGGTTAGCTTTGAGAGAATTGGAGCTGTTGCAGATTGGTTAACCTTCATGAACACATGTACTAGTGAGAGATTGTATTGGATTAACTGCTATCAATGTCTCATCAGTTCTCTTATCAATTTTGGTGGTTAATAATTTGTGATTTGAGACTATGGCCAAGAAATAGTCTCAGGATTGAATTTGTAGAATAGAAATATCATATTCTCATCAGCTATAGTATTATTTTTAAGTGTTCTTATCAGTACAGACTTTATTCTTAATAATAGATTTGCCATAGTTATCCCAAGAAAGTACTAATTAACTTTTATTTTTTGGTGGAGAAGCTTGAGGGATTTAGAAAATGGCTTTTCTTTCACAATAGGTTGCAATAAAGAATAACTCTAAATGCATGCCCGTGCCTAAACCTCTCATAGATGGCTTGAGTAGAAAGAGATATTGATAATATTTTACCATAGTGTACAAAAGTTATAGCAGTAAGTACAAAGTATGTCCTTCTTAAAATATAAGCAATCACTAAATATCATATTAATTGTTCATCAGACAAATTAGAGTGATGTATGCTAAAGAAGTTCAACATCAAAAAGTCATCTATATTAGGAAGGGGAAGTAAGGTGCTGGTGGCATTTAGATTAGAGCAGCAATTGGCAGTTACAGATGCTGCTTGACTTACATTGGGGTTATATCCCAAGAAGCCCTTTTTAAGTTGAAAATATCAAGTCAAAAATGAATTTAAAATACCTAACCTACTGAATACTATAGCTTACCAACACATTTTTTTTTTTTATCCTGTGACTGTGTGGCTGACTGATTGCTGTTGATTTGCTTCTGATAGGAAGGAATATTATACCTCATGTTAATAGCCTGAGAGAAGATAAAAATTTAAAACTTGAAGTATGATTTCTACTGAATGTGTATTGCATTCATACCATCATAAAGTTAAAAAAAATCTAAGTTGAACTACCTTAAATTAATAATCATTTATATAGGAAATATAGATAATAATTTTATAGGTTACTAATAACACAGCTATTGTAGTTAGGTATTACAAATTTCTGTCATTAGGTCATGTCAGATATAACACAGAGATGGTAACTTGTGATGGGATAGTGAGCAACCTATAAAACAGTATGGGGAAAACTGCTCATTGACTTGGAAGAAAATAAAGAAATGCTGTAGGAAAGGATCAATTAACAATACAATTCAATTTAGGCAAAGTTTATTTCATATATGTTTTTTACACTCCATCAGTAAATTTGTTTTGATTTTATGTCAATACAGCAAGTAAAAAACACATTTTTTTGAAAAAAAAAAAATACTTCTAAGCTTAGGTTTTAAACATATAAATATAATGCATAAAATAAATATACTGCACAAAAACATCCACCCACAAATTGCTGTTTACATCATTTCTGAATCACATTTCATGTATAAAAGTATACATTTACATTGGCTGCAATGTTTTCAGCTCTACATAACAGAAAACTTGTTTTGTAAAGTGCCAAGTAGTAAATGTCTTAGGTTCTGTGGGCCATATGGTCTGTCACAACTACTAAACTCTACTGGTGAAGGCAACCACAGGCAAGGAAAAACATAAAGAAATGGGTTTTTATTTGTATTAGTGTTATCAAAGTGCTCAATGGACACTGAAATTTGAATACCATATAATTTGCATGTGTCCCAAAGTATTCTGTAAGTTTCCTCAGCCATTTAGTAATAATAATAAAAAAAAAAACTTTTATCAGCTTGCACAAAAATGGGCAGTGGACCAGATCTGGCAGATGGGCTGTGGTTTGCCAACCACTGGCCTAGCCTAATCAGGATCTCTTCCAGAATCACTGGGAAAACAAACAACCAAACCAAACCAAGGCACTGGAAGCAATAAGGTGGGAGATGAGTGTTGGGTTGCCAACATTATTTTAATAGGATTATTCAAGAAATACACATTATAATTACTATAATATCTAATATATAGTTCTTGTGTCTCAGACACTATTCTAAGTGCTTTAAAATATTAACTCATTTCAACCTCAAAGCAATATTAAGATGTTACTATCACTACTTTTACATAAAAGAAACTGAGGCACAGGGAGGTGATTGACATGACCCCTTTGCTGGAATCTAGGCCTAGGCTAGTAGCTTAGCGTCCTCACTCTTAACTGTTATACCATGTTGCTTCTACTAGTGATAAAAAGGTTTGGGAGAACATTTAAGACTCTCATACAAAATACAAGCACAGATAATTACATACACTCTGCTAAAACACCAACAGTAAGATAATTATATTTCTTACATAGCACTATTTACTTCTATTATATAGAGTATAATACATGTTAGTGATGTCAGCTGCTTTAAAGGCAGCTCAGACTTTTGCTAAAAATAAATGTGCCCCTACTCCAAAATTTGGCTGACCATAAGACACTCAACATTTTACAAGAACATTTCAGCTTCATTTTAAAGTGTTAGTTCAGTAACAATGTCTATATAATTGTTACAAGTGCCAGGAAATGGTAGGAAAAGATGCACTAAGAAAAATAAAGAGTATTACACTACAATACATATCATAACAAGAATCACTGCTCTGCTCAGATAATGTGACACGTCCTCCTACACGTAACAGTTATTGAACTAAGGTTACATGTTTTTCTATGTACAATTACAGATGGGTTCTACTTGCATGTCCAACTTCTACAAGTTATGTTTTGTAGCAAAATCACATGCACACAAAAGTCCCACATACTAAAAGACCCTTCATGTGTGTTTAATGATGTTGTCTGATTACTCAATTTATTTTTGCTTTTTAAAAAGCTTCACATCTGTGGACATTTGCAGGTTTATTTAAAAAGAAAATCAAATCCCTTGGAATATTCATTTTTGCCTGCTTCCATCAGTAGAAATTATTTGAAATTTTGTTGAAAATCTCTCAAATATTTATAGAAATATTATTCAAATTATCAATGACATGACATTCATTGAAATATCTGTTCTTTAATAAAGGCTTCTATACCTGTTACAAACTTTGTAGTTATCTACCTTGAGTTCTCTAATAAGTGCAACTTGTGTAAAAAAGACTTATGAATACTCAGGATATTCATAGGAGTTTCTTATACATGTTAGCTTTGGATGTAAAGTGCTGACTGTTCTGTTAGAAAACATCTTGACATTTATTTACTTATAGGATTTCTCTTGTGTGATGATGTAAAATAAAATACAACTTCTGAAAGAAATATTTTTCTTCATATTTTATAGTTTGTAGAGTTTTGCCATCTATATTGTCTGATATTTAATAGTCTACTGGGTGGTAAAAATTTCTCCCTAATAAATTTATAGAATTTCTCTCCATGCATTTGCTGATATTCTTTGAGTAATGATTGTGGCTGAAATTTTTCCCTCATTGATGATACTCATGAGGTTTCTCTTGTGTAAATTATCTGATAACACTGAAGGATAAATTCAGACAGAAATTCTCAACTCATACTATTTGTCAGCTTTTCCCTTCCGTGTATGTGTCTTCTGATGTGCATTGAGTTGTGACTTCTGGATAAAGGTGTCCCCACATTCTTGACACTCATAGGGTTTCTCCCCTGTGTGCTTTCTCTGATGTATGGTAAAATGTGACTTCTGAGAAAAGGATTTCCCACATTCCTTGCATTCATAGGGTTTCTCTCCTGTATGAGTCCTTTGATGTAATCTGAGGACTGAATTCACAGAGAATGATTTACCACACTCTGTGCATTCATAGGGTTTCTCTCCTGTGTGTTTTCTTTGATGTTTAGTGAGGTCTGATTTATAGTAAAAGTTTTTACCACATTTATTACATTCAAAGGGTTTTTCCCCTGTATGAGTTCGCTGATGTACTGTGAGGGCTGACTTCTGGTAGAAGCATTTACCACATTCCTTACATTCATAAGGTTTTTCTCCTGTGTGAGTCCTCTGATGAGTTTTGAGGTGTGAATTTCTCGAAAAGAATTTCCCACATTCCTTACATTTATATGGTTTCTCCCCTGTGTGTGTTCTTTGATGTACTGTGAGGTGTGACTTCTGAGAAAAGTTTTTCCCACATTCCTTACACTCAAAAGGTTTTTCCCCTGTATGTGTTTTCTGATGTACCATGAGGTATGCCTTCACATAGAAGAACTTCCCACATTCAGTACACTCAAAGGGTTTCTCCCCTGTGTGTGTTTTCTGATGTTCTGTGAGGTGTGGTTTCTGATAGAAAGATTTTTCACACTGATTACATTCATAAGGTTTCTCCCCTGCATGGGTTCTCAGATGTCTACTAAGAGATGATAGGTGGTAGAAAATTTTCTTACATTCTTTACATTCATAGGTTTTATCTCTGGTGTGAATTTTCTGATGTTTTATGAGGTCTTCATTTATAGAGAAAGATTTCCCACATTTTTCACATTCATAGGATTTGTTCTTGTAATGTGTATGTCGATGCACTGTGAGGGCAGACTTTTGGCAGAAGGATTTTCCGCATATGTTACATTCATAAGTTTCCTCCTGGTTATGAGTTTTCTGATGTTTTGTGAGTTCTCCGATCCTAAATAGAAAGTTCCAAATTCATTAATAATAGGACATTTAATGTTTTTTTTTGTGCTATGTATTTTCTAAGTTGCTCTGAGGACTGACTTCTAGAGATGTTCCCATATTCTTTAGCTTCATAGGGTTTCTCCACTATAAACATTCTCTGACCTACACTGTGCTTTAACATTTCATAGACTGAATTTGCATAACATACATAAGGTTTCTTAACTGACTGCACTCTACTTTGTGTAATAAAACCTCGATTTTTGTATAATTCAGAACAAAGAAGATGACTTCAAAGTTTGAATAAGTTGATCTTGAGTAAGTTCTCCTGTGAAAAAGGACATTTCCATTTGAATTACTTTCTTTAAAATTCACTCCAGTATTTTCTCACATTTAGTGTTAACTAGTGCTATCTCATTTCTAGTACCCCCATCAAGACTTTCTTACAACACTTCTCTTGACTTGCCTTGAATTTCCAGCTTGACTTTTCTGGTACTTTGCCCCATGGTCATTCCATAGTTCTTCTACAAAGGAATCAAGATTTTAATACATTATTATGATTGTAGGGTTGATTCTATGTTTCAGGTCAATCTATCAAAATGAAAGCACTCTCAAATAGAAATTTATTCTATTCCTTTGTTTTAGAAAAACACAGAACAAACATTAAAAACTTCAGTAATAGACAGTGGGAAGAACATGATTACAAACCAAAATACCTTTGGCACATTTAAAACAAATATGACCTTAAAAACTTGGATGTAAAAATTAAGACAAAAACCAAAGAATATGGAACAGAGAACAAAAGATTTTTAAAATCATCCTGAACAAGAAGTGGGAATCACAGAGAACACTGTGAGTTCATTAAAGCCAATCCACCACAGTAATTTGGGTAAGAAAAATTGGTGGATAATTGTGTTTACTGGAATTATCAGAAAGAAGATAAAATTTGATGGAGAAGCTAACATTTGATGGAAGAGCATAACATATTCTATCCAGGTGCAGTAGCTCATGCTTGTAATTGTAGCAACTCAGGGGGCTGAGGCAGGAGATTTATAAGTTTGAAGCCAGCCTTAGAACCTTAGCAACAATCTGTCTCAAAATAAAAAAGGGCTGGGATGTAGCTCAGTGGCAAAGTACTCCTGGGCTCAATCCTCAGTGCAAAAAAAAGAAAGAAAGAAAGAAAGAAAATCCCCAGAAGCATAAGTCTTTATCCCCTCAAATTTAAATTTATATTACTATATTAGGATTCCTAGTTCAATAGTTCCTTCTTACCTGGAGGGGATATATTCCAAAACTCCAGTAATGCCTGAAACCACAGATAGTACTGAATGCGCTCGCTCGCTCGCTCTCTCTCTCTCTCTCTCTCTCTATATATATATATATATATATGCTCTCTCTCTCTCTCTCTCTATATATATATATATATATATATTTAGTTTTTTCTATACATACATACATACATACCTATGATAGATACAACTTTTACCTTTCTACTTAGAAGAAGCACTTTAAGGCTTTATTTTGGCATATTTTCATTGTCAGCATCACTACTCTTGAACTTTGGGGCCATTATAAAATAAAATAAGGGTTACTTAACATAAATGCTATGATCCCTCAACAGTCTATCTGATGACTGAGATGGCTGCTGAGTGACTAATAAGGTAACATGTTATAGTACAGATATGCTAGATAGAGTTGATTCATATCTGGGCCAGACAGAGTGGAACTACACTAGATTTCATCACAGTACTCAGAATGACATATATTTTAAAACTATGAATTGTTTATTTCTGGAATTTTCTGTTTAATATTTTCAGACTGCAGATGACTGTGGGGAACTGAAAGGAAAGTGAAAGTGCAGATCAGGAGAAATATTGTAGTTAACAGACTATAAACTTATACTTTATTTCTTCCTTGTCTATCCATAATAATATAGCTGTCAATGCTAAGTGAATTTCTCAGATCATCAATGTTCTCATGGTTAGAAGTTTAAGCTTTCATTAGCAATAAAATTAGCTTAATTTTCACTAGGACAGGAAGATCCAGGAACATAGACATCCAAAAAGAAGGACTTTTTAAAAAGCAGAGGCATGCCATTCTGCAACAGGATGAATTTCCTTGTAGCATCATGGATTTTCAGTTCTGAACTTATCCTAGCCATCAAAATCCTGCATTTCCAAAGATAAGATTCAACTTGAGTTTTGAATTGTGCTTTCATAATCTTGGCTCCTTCATTTTTGCTTCTAATTTGCTACATGTTCCCTAAATATTAGGTTACTCAACATCATCCTAGAACCATTCTTCATATTTATTCATATTTAAAAAATAAAAGATTATGAGCAGAGGCTTGGGGTTGTAATTTCATGGCACCTGTGGGAAAAGTTATTTGATACTGAGTTGTGCAAAGTTAACTTGAATATGTATTAAATAAGAGTCTATGTATATAAAACATGTAAGAGAATGGTAAAGTGGAAATTAACATGTGATTGGGGGCTACAAGGAGAAATAAGTCGCAGTAGGCAAGAGAGGGCCAGACTTGTTCTTGACAGAAAATTAACATAAATGTATGCTCTAATAGTGAGTTAGTATTAGTTTACCATGACAGGCTAGTGGCAATAGAAGTCTGCTGCATTATACAATGGCCTTGAGAATTTAAATTAATAATTTGATTTTGACCTTAAGGAGTAGAATCAGTGGAACTATCTTGTAAGAAGGTAAAATATGAAACCAGAATAAAAATAGAACAGAGATTCTGTCAGCTTTAGGAGTTCTCAGCATAAAAATTCATGATTTATTCTTAAGAGTGGATAAGTCCTCGAAGTAGTTAGTGAAAAGAGCATACAGCAGAGAATAGAGATTGTCGGTTTCTTATAAATCATATTTCATTCTTTCAACAAATACCTTGTGAGCAACTAATATGTACCAAGCAATACATCAGTCAGAAGATAATGAAAAAGATTTAAGAAGCAGGATGGGATTCTCTTGGTGTTATAATACCCCAAATATGGTACTGAAGATTTTAGGAATAATCAACACTTTGTGTGAAGGGCAACCCTACATGAAAGAAAATGATGAACAACATAATGGTTTATAATTTGAGTTCAGAGTTTAAAGAGAGATGAGGAAGTTAAAACTGTTGCAATTGGTGCTAAAAATACATTTTTCAGTTTTTTTGTTTTCTTTGAAAAAATATAGCTCATATTTGTGAACACTTTCTAAGATTATAATCACATAATATGCAGGGAGGAAGTTACTGTATTCTAGAGAAAAGACAAAAATCTCAGTTAAGGTTAGATATAGTTTCAATTCTGAAAATATAGAAAATAGAAGTAAATCTATTTTAAAATATTTAGCAAATGAGGAATTTAAGTGGCGAGAACAGAAATTTGAGGTATGATTTAGATTTATTACATGTACAGATAAAGTGTTCTCAATCATTTCCAGAAGTCTACGGAATTTCGAGAAATTCCTGAAAAGTATTTCAAAAATAAAGAAGCATCAAACACCTGACTAATAATGGAATATAATTTCTAAGTTACCAGGACGATGCCGACGTGGAAATTCTACTTCCAATACCCATGGCTCTTTTCCTTGCTTCAATTTGAAGACCAGATTTGGCTTACTCACACGATAACCTATTAATGAAAAAAAATAAAGAAAATGATACAAATTGCTTGAAGTTTGTATGGATAAGAAAAATACAATTTCAGGAAAACAATGAAGTTCCACTTAGGCTTGTCAAATTTTAGATTCTTTCACTGGAGATGTAGGAACACTTATTCTGGTACCCAAAATGGATTAAGTTTGACCTCTGAAACAAAGCTAATATCATTCAACCCCATAAAGATCTTATATGTTCCAGAAACTGAGAGAAGAAATATAAATGACTGGGATTTATATATTGTTATAGTTTGGATGTGAAGTCTCCCCCAAAAGTTCACATATGAGACTATACAAGAAGGTCTGGAGAAGAAATTATTGGGTTATAGCCTTAATCTAATCAGAGAATTAATCCCTGATGGGATTTACTGAGTGGTAACTGGAGGCAAATAGAATGTGGCTAGAGGAAGTGGTTTATTGAGGGCATGGCTATGAAGTATATGTTTGTATATAGAAAGTGGAGGCCTCTCTCTCTCTGCCTTCTGATCACCACACTATTCCTTCCGCCACACTCTTCCACCATGATATTCAGCCTCACCTAGAGCCCCAAGGAATGCAGCCAGCTTCTATGGACTAAGACCTCTGAAAACATGAGCACTAAATAAACCTTTTCTCCTCTACAGTTGTTCTGGTTAGGTCCTTTTAGTCACAGCAGTGAAAAAGCTGAATAAAACATATGAGGAAGTTTTTCTCACCCACTGAGACCAGGTGATTGTAGTTCTCCAGCATGACATCCTTGTACAGGGTCCTCTGAGCAGGAGTCAGTAATTTCCACTCCTCCTTGGTGAATTCCACAGTAACATCCTTAAATGTCACTGGTCCCTGGAACAATATTTCAATTAAATCTGAGCTGACCAGAAAAGAATACCATTGAAAAGATACAGTAAGGGCTGGGGACAAGACTCAGTGGTAAAGCATTTGCTTTGCTTGCATGAAACTCTAGGTTTAATCCCTAGCACTGAGGAGGGAAAAAAAACATATTAAACTAGCTTTGTGTTGACTGTAGAATTTACTCTGGATAGTTATACTGCTAACTATATACAGTATTTTATACACAGATATATGTTCAATACACATTTACTGAGCTCCTACTCTGCCTGCAACTCTCCTGGAGGTATCAAAGATGAATAAAAGTAATTCTTTCTATTATCAAAGAACTGATATTTTGACATGAGGCAAAGATGTAAATGCTTAAAGGCAATATGTGTAGTGGGTGTATTGTCAAATATGATACAAGATACAAGATGGTTACAAATGGGGAAAGTTATTTGCATTTTGTATTGTCATGTTAGATTTTTTTAGATGGTCAACCTGATTTATGTACATTTTAAGAATAAACAATACATGATTGGAAAAAGCATGGGGCATAAGAAATGATGAAAGTTAAACTACAAAAAACACAGTATAATAGGAGAATAGGTTATAGGATGAAGATTAATTATGTTATAAATTCAAGTGACAGAACATAAAGAAATTATGTCTTTTGACCCATAGATTATATTTTTCATATATTTAATAGATTGCTTATTAATGTTACACCTATTAAAATAGGTTAACAAGTCTTAAATTTAAGGAATTTAAGGAATAAAATTTATATAAGAGAACAATATCTACATCACAGTATGTAGACTATCTTATACATCTTAGGGATGCTCACTCCTTCACTTTGTAGATGTAAATACAGACAATAGGAACCACTGAAGATACAGATGTAAGCGCTGGAGTTATAGCAGATAAGTAGTTTAGAAGAAAACTATAAATCAGAAGTAGCAAATGGCACATCACAAAGAGACAGATATAAGCAATAGGCATTTACATAAAGTAGCAGCAGCAGTAGCAGTAGTATGGCAAAATAGTATAATGTAACTGTAATTAGCTGGTAATTAATAGCTACTGGGAAGAAGACAGAGGATAGCTCCCAGATTATTATGATTTGGTGGCCAGAGTTAGGATGCTAATTTCTTTCATTTGTATTAAAAGAAACAATTTAAGGCTATAAAATTTCTTCTGATAAATGCTTTATTTATATTCCATAGGATCTGAAATGTATTTTCACTTGAACAATAACTTGGTTGGGCAGGCATAAATTCCTGATTCATACTTTTTTCTTAATTTCTTGAAAACGCTTTCTATTATTTTATGTTTATATAATTTGGTACTAAGAATTATGTCAATTTTATTTTCCTTCCTTGGAAAGTGATTTGTACTTTTCCCCCTTGAGACCAGAGAACTTTTTAATTACTTAAAAATACGTATGGGGGTTACCATTCTGAATCAATGCTTTGTGCTTTGTGGCATACAGAGGGTCTTTTCAATGAGTAGATTCAGTTCTTCTCTTTCTGGAAAGTTCCTTGAATTATAGTTTTTTTAAATTTATTTTTTAGTTGTAGTTGGACACAATATCTTTATTTTATTTACTTATTTATTTTTTTTAAAATGTGGTGCTGAGGATCGAACCCAGGGCCTCGAACACACTAGGCAAATGCTCTACTGCTGAGCCATAACCCAAGCCCCCCCTTGGATTATAGTTTAAAATTTTATTCTCTTTTGTTATTTGGTTTTTGTACCTTAGGGACTCTACTTTGTCTTTCTTTTACTTTTATTACTCAAATCTTCCTGATCCTCATTCATTTTGTTTCGCCCTAACTTTGATCTCTTGTCCATTCATTTATTTCATGTCATTTATTGTACCTTCATTCACTTCTTCTTCCTTGAGCATATTGTAACTTAACAGAAACCTTGAGTTTCTGTTCTGCTATATTTTTCCTAAGTTAATGAACCTACATTTTGTATTTACTTGCTTTTCCATTTCTATCATGAGTTTTTAATTTCTGGTTTGTAAGTTTCTTTACTGTCCCAAATTACTTAATACTGAAGATTTGTATTAACAGTTTTCTTCTATTTTGCTTTTGTTTTGGGAAATTCACAACAATTGAAAAAGTTAATTCACACTTTCTGCTTTCTTCTTATATTATTAATGCATGATTGTTGAGTAACTTCCTTTTTCATGATAAGTGACAATAAAAGTTAATTTTATGTTGGGTAGGAAAGAAGAAATTGTTGTCTACTCTTGGTTAAAATATCAGCAACTATTTGAAAATAATAAGTGAGTACTTTGTTTACTGTTATTCAAAAATAAACTCAAAGTTGTTGGTTTTTTTTGTTTTTTGTTTTGCGGGGGATGACTGGGGACTGAACTCAGGGGCACTCGACTACTGAGCCACATCCCAAGCCCTATTTTGTACTTTATTTAGAGAAAGGGTCTCACGGAGTTGCTTAGCACCTCGCTTTTGCTGAAGCTGGCTTTGAACTTGCAATCTTCCTGCCTCAGCCTCCTCCCAAGCCACCGGGATTACAGGTGTGCACCACTGCGCCTGGCCTACACAGACACTTTAAATCAACTCTTTGACGCATGCTCAAGGAAGTATAGAAAATTGTGGACAAAGAACTAAAGGAAACAAAGACTATGTATAAACAAGTAAAGAATATCAATAAAAAAAGTTTAAAAAGGGAAAGAAGTTACAGAGTTCAAAGGTAGAATAACTGAAATTAAAAATTCACTTGAGAGGGTCAACATCAGATTTGAGCAGGCAAAAGAAAGAGATCTACAAAAGTGAAGATTAGATGATTTATCCTGTTGTTGCAATTCTGGCTCAAAATAAAAATATCAATGTAAGTCATAAACATGAAAAAATTAAAAAAGAAAAATATCATCATCATCATCTCAATAGATACAGAAAAAGCTTTTCACAAATTTTTAAAATAATTATCATTCATGATTAAACCTCTGAACAAATTAGGTGAAAAAGATATTATAATTTGCTTTTCAGTTTCCTCCAAAGAACATGTAGTAAAGGCTTGCTCCCTAGGGTAACTGCATTGGAAACAGAGCCTTACTATTGGGTAGAACCTTAAGGAAGCAGGGTCTAGTAGGAGGTCTTTGGGGTCACTGGGACTATCCCTTTGAAGGTGACTGTGGGACCCTGGTCCCTTTCTCTTTCTTTTGCTTTCTGGCCATGAGAGCAGTTTTGCTCAATCATGTGCTCATGGCATGATGTGCTGCTTCAACACAGGTGTAAATGCAACAGGTTTCAACTGATCATGGACTGAAATCTCTAAAAGTGTGATCCCAAATAACCCTTTTCTCTTTATAAGGTATTTATTATAGTGACAGAAGCCAACTAATGCAGAAGGGATCTTCCTTAATCTAAAAAAGACATTTATATAAAATTTGTAGCTAGCACAACACTTACTGAATGACTAAATTCTTTATCCCTAATGACTGGAAAAAAATGTTTAATTTCAGTACTCTTACTTAATATCATATTAGAAATAATAGCACTGGCTAAAGAAAAGCATACAGATTACAAAGAGGAAAAATAAAACTGTTTCTGTTTTCAGATGACATTTACTTATGTGGACAGTCTCCAAGAATCTTTAAAACAAATTCTGGAACTAATCATTAAGCTTATTAAGGTCACAGACCAAATTTGTTTTTAAAAATCTATATTTCTATATGCTAGTAAAAACCAAGTAGAAATAAAAAAGCGAAATCAATATTATTTACAATAGCAACAAAAATGCAATACTTGAGTGTTAATCTAAACTTTTAGCATGGTCTATATCCAAAAACTACAAAACAACAAACAAAGAGGTCAAAGACCTAAATAAATGGGGTGTTAAATTGACTCTGAACCATGCCAACTCTTCTTAATATAATCTGTATATTTAATGTAATTCCAATCAAAATCTGAGAAGGCTTTTTTTTTTTGGTAGATGTCAATAGCTGATTCTAAAATATATAAGGAAAAGTAATGGAATTAAAATAGCTTTTGCAAAAAAACAAATTATGCGGATTCACACTATCTGATTTTAAGACTCGCTGCTATATTAAGGAAGATATTGCGCTAATAAAAAAGGATAAACACAAAGATCAATGCAATAAAAGAGTATTTTGATGTTTTAAAAGTCTGCTTAGTCTCTTGGTTTATGAGTCTTCCTTGATTTTTTAAAAAACATTATTATTTATTTTTGAAGTTCTGGGAATTGAACCCACAGCCTTGCACATGGTGAGCTATGTCCCTAGACCTTTCCTTAATTTTTATGACCTTGACAGTTTTGAAGAATACTACTCAAATGTTTTATGGAACGCCCCTCAAGTTGGATTTGCCTAAAGGTTGTCTCATGATTAGACTAAGATTTTAGGTTTAGGGGAAGAATAATAGAGAGCCCTTATCAAAATATAACAGGGGGTTCATAATATTACTAGTGACGTTAACTTGGCTTACTTTGTTAGGCTAGTGTTTACCATTTTTCTCCATTGTAAAGTAGCTACTTTTATTTTTCACATTCTATTTTTCGAAAGCAAATTAAAGTCCAGCCCATATGCAAGAAGAGAATGTGGTAATAAACCCCACTTCCTAGAGGGACAGTATCTATACATATCACATGGGGTTCTTCATAAAGATTTATCTCTTCTCATTATTTACCTATTTATTCATTTACTTATATCAACATGACCTGGTTTTTAAAAATGTTTTTAGTTAGAATATAATACTGCATACTTGTTTTGTTGCTCAAATTGCTTCAGCTTTGCCAATGAGGAGCTCTTATAGATTGGTTCTTGTGTCTATTTGACATGCCCCAATCATTTGTTTACTTTTATGTTATAGCATTTCCTTACTTTCTGATGGCACAAAATTCCCTTGGTTTATTTTGTATTTCCTTTGCTTCAGTCCTAGAATCAACCAGTTATCCAAGAAGTTCTAGTTCTTTTATTGAAAAATGGTATAAAAATATGGATGTGGGCACTAGGAATGCTC